CCGGGTAACCCTTGCTGCCCACCAGCGGATAGGGTGAGCTGGCAGCCTTTGAAGCTGGAGGTCATGCCAGCGGGGCCGGACATTGCCCGTTGCCTGCTTTGCATTTGTTGTTGTTGTTGTTGTTGTTCTCGTTGTCGTTGTGCGTCGTAATCAATGGCCACTAATCAAATGAAACGAATTGCGTAGCTGCATGCGAACTATGCTCCGCGAAACCCTCCTTCAACCACCTCCAGCTACTCTTTTAGCGCCCTTTGCTGGGCAGCTCGCGCAAAATTGGGCAATCCTCTGGCTAAAACGGAACCGGTGGCCACTTTGCCATGAACCGGAAACTCAAAGTCCCAACGAACAGGAGTCCCACATTCCGCTTCCCTCCACTTTCCGCTTTCCACTTTGATGGCAGCGAAATAGGAACCGAACGAAAAGTCACTCAGCCGAAAGCGGGAAAACAGGGCCAGAAAATATCGCGAGAATTCTTGTGCCAATTGAGAAACTTATTAAATGAAGTCAAATCAAGGGGCCAGCTAGAGATGTGTCAACACTCTGAAAGTATACGCAAATCCAGGGTATTTCACATTTTGGTAATCTTTCCATATGCATATGCGTGTATAACATTTCCCAAAGATCGAACCACATTTGCCATATGTGTGGTGCTGAGGGAGGACGCGGAGGGGAGAGGTGCGTGCACCGAAGGAAGCTGGAATAATTGTGATGGTAGGTCGGGGCGCTTGTTCAACTCCGTCTGGACTTTTCAATGTTTTAAAAAATTGTATTAAATTGCATATGCAATCTATGCGGGGCTTCCATGAGTCAGCTATGAAAAAGGCGAACGTTTTGGCAAGTCAAATTCCCCTTTAAATATTCTGCTTTAATCTGCATGTCATGCGGCTTAGACAACTTTCAGATGGCAGAGCTGTCTCTGGGCGGGGTCTAGCACCCCAGTCCCCCAGCCAGCAGCTCCTGGCACAGCCCATTAACAGGCCAAGCACATGGCACATGGCACAACAACAACAACAACAACAACATGAAGCAGAAAAACCATATTTCAAATAGTTTAACTGGGGAAAACTTAAAAATTGCTAAACATAATTGGCAGTTTTTGCCGGGCCTGCGGGTCGTCAGGGTCCAAATAGAAATCTTTATGAGTTTATAGGTCCGAGTATTGCATGTGTTCACTGCAGACATGGACATAGCCAGATGGGCGTCGGGACGGCTGAAGGCATCATTCTCAACCGGAGGCCGACATGGGCCCGCCGTTAGTTAGTTAGTTATAACCACATACAATTTTATGCAGACCATATTGTAAATGTTATAATTTTCACTAACAATTTTTGCCCAGCGCTCGCTGCGGGTGCAAATTCATGAGCTACAACCTAACGAGTGGGCGGAGGGAGGGGGGGCAAAGTGTGTGTTTCGGGAAAGCGTGTTCCTGACCATGGGGCAGCCTGGGCAGGAAAACTCGTTGGTTTTTTTTTTGGCTTCGTACAGCTTGACGGAGCATGTTGCCGGTTGGAAGGGGGTGAAGGGGGGGGGGGGGGGGGGGGGGGTGGCGCTTGGATGATGATAATTTTTAGCAACTTTTTCATAGCGGACCTCCGTCCACCTCATCCGTTCAGCTCGTTTTCCCACTCGCTCCTGCTCCAGCCCTCTCTCTCCCTCTCTCGCTCTCTCTCTCTCTCTCTCTCTCTCTGGGTCTTGCTCTGTTACATGTGCACTTAAACGTGCTTCGGGTTTTAAAGTATTATTACATTAAGGCTACAAAGGCATTCGCTAAGGGTATGCACAAATATATATGTGTTCTTGTTTTTTGGAATACCCTGTAAATGCAGGTGTGCAGTGAAAAAACAGCCAACTGATGACATTTTATAACTTCATATTAGACTCTAGAGTCCATAAACACCATAAATTATCTCTTGGTTTTAGCCTCCACCTACTTTGCTTTCGCCGCGAGGTTGTCTCTGTCGAAGCTTTAACTTGTTGCGAATTGTAAGCGTCGAGCAACGTTTTACTCTCTGCTGATATAATAGCTGTCGCTGTGCTGGCCTTTTATTTTTAAGTAATAAAATTTAATACACGGCTACATAGTCGCTTTACACACACACACTCACACTCACACGGACGCACACATGCACACATTTATATGTATACGCACATTTTACTCAATTACAAAAGTTTCCACATTAAAAGTTCATTGCTGAGGCAGGCGAAGCGTGAGACGGCGCCGCTGATGGTCCAAAAATCTTTTGGGTAGGGCTCACCATGTTGGGTTAGGTCGTGCCCGGCGGCTGTAACGACTACATGGATGCCCTCCTGCTCGTGCGGCCCCTCCTCCTCCTCTAATGCAGGGCGATAACATCAAAGACACAGTCAAAGCAAAACGTCTGGCCGTAAAAGTTGTTTTTTTTCTCTCTCTCTCTCCCTCTCTCTCTCTCTCTCTCTCTCTCTCTCTTTCTCTCTCTTTCTTTCTTTTGTGGCCGACACAGGAAAAATTTAAAATGTTGTAGTCGGTATTACAGCAGTAGCAGTAGCAGTAACAGCAGCAGTAGCTGTAACACCAGCAGTCAAATTACTCTATTGAGGTGGTAGCTGCCGCCCCTCCCCTCCGCGCCCCTCTTGCCACTGTGCTAATCCAATGGTAATGTTATGTTATGTTCAGGAATATGCTATAAAGTTTCAAGCAATAAAAATAATATAATAAAATAAAATAAAATAAAAAACAAACCATCTGAGTGCCACTTCATCTGTTATGAAAGTAGTTAAAATATAATGTAAGCCAAGTCGGGAGTAACCGACTAGGGGATACCCTGAACCCTCTTTTACCAACACCAAATGCAATGCTTTGGCAGTAACAAAATAGTTCCCTCTATAGGAATCGAACTCGCAACAGACCACGCTACTTGCCGCTTCTTTTACCCACTGACTACTAAAAAAAAAAACCAATTAAAATAGCAGCACATACACTCAGCTCACAAAACAATACACTCACAATTGCAATGCTGTGGATAGAATTTAATAAAGTCGCGCGTGAATGTGTCTGTGTACACATATACATACGTATACTGCCTGTCGCTGGCACGAGGCCAGTCACGTTTTCTTTAATAACTTTTGTATTTCTTAACCGATCTTGATTCATTTCAACAGCAAATCTTATTGTGCTTCATACATACGGACAGACAGACATAAGGACAGACGGACGGAAGGATAAACGGACGGACAGACAGACGGACTTGGCTAGATCGAATATATATATATATATATAGTTTATGGGGTAGAAGATGCTTCTTTCTGCCTGTTACATACATATGCCCCTTTTAGACATTTTTATTGATCACAGGGTATAAAAATCATAAAAAAGATTTGTCCAAAAACTTCGATATGAGCTCTCTAATTAGATCGCCATAGTAGGATAGTGGGAATCCGTACAAATACAAAAAGGTGTAGATTTCCAAAATCAGACGTTGGTTTAATCCAAAAAAATCATATAAAATGTTTTGATTTTCGACCTGTCTTCGATTTTCACAAAAACCGTGATGTAACCCCTTGCTTTTTGGTCGATTCTGATTTCAAAATCGCTTATTATTTGGCCGAGATATTCAAAAATGTCATCAAAAAATGTTGACTTCACAAACAAATCGTTTTTTTCGGTCAACAACTTTTTGAACCCATCAAATTGCATTTTTTTTTGAATGCCAATTGATAGTAGAGATCCGTGCGAATTCTAAACAGGCACAAATACTGATATATAGTCATATTGTTATAGTGCCCTACTGTTATACTATTATAATATATTACTGTTATACTATCATGCTGTTATACTGGTATACCTGGCAGCTGTTATACTGATATACGATAATTATTTTTTTACTGTTATACTCATACGCACACACCCAATTCTTGCATTACAGGCTACGGCGGCATTTCGCCCCGCACCCAGTGGGGCCGCGTAGCCGCCCTCGTCTACGCCCTGTTCGGCATACCCATCGTGCTGCTGTACCTGTCCGCGATGGGCGAGGCATTGTCCGCCGGCATGCGCTGCCTGTTTCGGCGTCAACGTGCCAAGGGCAGCGTTGCCAGCGGCAGCGGCCCCACAGCCGGGCCGAGCGGCAGTCGCAAATCGGACAAGGCCAAGGGCCAGCAATACGGTCATTCGGCGGCCAAGCTCCACCAATACGGCCTCCCACCCTCGGTATATCAGCAGCAGCAACAACAGCAGCAACAACAGCAGCAACAGCAACAGCAGCAGCAGCAGGGCAGAAAGTCAGCTTCAGATGGCAGCGTACGCGGCTCCCCCAGTGTGCCCATCTCGATCTGTGTGTGTGTCCTTGTCTGCTATGTGACCAGCGGTGCGATACTGTTCCATAAGCTGCAGAACTGGAGCGTGCTGGAGTCCCTATACTTCTGCTTCACCTCGCTGGGCACCATCGGCTTTGGGGAGCTGGCACCCAGCGGCACCTTGACCCTGTACACGGCCTCGGCCTATATATTGGTGGGCATGGCCGTGGTGGCCATGTGCTTCAGCCTGATCCAGACGGAGATTGTTATGTGGCTGCGTCGTTTCAGCGTTCAGGATCATGTCACGCCCAAGGCCGAGGAGCTGGCTCTCGTCTCGGTGGCTGTAACGCCCAAGCCCTCCTGACAACGACCCAGCGCAGAACTAATGGGCGCTGGAGCTGCCACGGCTGGCGGCCAGGCTGCCAACAATCTGGGCCAGCATCAGACCATGTTCTTTGGACCGGCGCACACACTGACCCAGTATAGCTCACTGCCACGTCGCAGTCACATGCATGGACTCGGAGGTATAGGCGCTGGCAATGGTGGAGCCGGGGCCGGGGGCGGAATGGGCGCCTCATCATCGGCCTTTCAACGCAACACGCCCATAAGACGCTCCACAGGCATACCGGAGCACCACATGGAGTACTTTGTGCCGCGCAGCATTAGCGAATTTAATCTGTCCGGCGTTGGCGACTTGGCGCTGCCTCCGCCGCGCCGCTTCTCGCCGAACAACATGACCGGCATGGGCCTGCCCATGGGCGTTGGCGTTAACATGGGCCTCAACATGGGCATGGGCATGGGCATGGGCATGGGCATGCCGCACGGCCTACAGCTGGGACCGCCGCAGACGCTGCTCTGTGCCGCTGCCGCAGGCGGCGCCACGACATCAGCAGCACCCCCACCGCCGCCGCCCGCCCAGCTGCAGATAATGACATTGAAGCCGCGCAGCGAAAAAATGGTCACTTTCGAGGATGAGTCGAAGTCTGCCGCCGCTGCCGCTGCCGCTGCCACACACTGTCCGCACGGTGTGCCAACCACGCCGCGCAAATCGAGCGGCGGCGCCACCACAGCGGACATGTTCATGTGACCAACCAGCTGACCAGCGGCCGGCGCAGATGACGCCGAGCTGAACGCAGCGCTGCGACTGCGCGACAGCATCGAGAACGAGCTCTGCCCCAAGCAGGCGCCAGGCGAGGTAATCCGCGTCTAAGCCTGCCTGCCCGCCCACACAGTTGAGTTTTGGTCGACTAACTGGCTCACACTCACACTGTAAGTATATGCACACCAATTGGCAGCCACTGCGTGCTAATTAGCTGAGCAGGTGGGCTACGACAACAGCACGCTTTGAGGGTGTTATGCAAATGATGTAAGTTAAGCAAATATTTATAAAATATGCGTGTAAACAGCAAACACTAAAAGTAAAAATAAAATACCATAAATAAAATATTGAGTGTGCTCTAGTCGGCAGTGACCGACTAGATTGATACCCTGTACCCGAGATGTTGTGACAAAAGCTCGAATTTCCTTTCATGCACACATATACCAAAATATAGTTACACAACACAAACACACATACACACACACATAGAGCTGCTTCTTCCCTCTGTAACACAATAGATTATAGTAAAATGCGTTCTTGGATAACTCAGCTGTTCATAGTCCGATCTTTATGAAATTTTCAGGGCATAAATATGGCAGGCATGCACGCTTACATACCAATAACCGAAGGTACTTATCTAAAAATAGAAATATTCGAAATCTGTAACAATAAACGAAACACCAAATCAAATAATTTTCGATATATGCTTAGAAAACTGAGCTGAATATCGATATTTATCGATTTCGTGAAAACGGGGCGAATTATGCATGCAAATTTCCAGTCTCTAGCTCCAATATTGTATGTGTTTGAGGCGGTTCTTGAAGCTAATCACGAATAGATATACTTGATGGGCTCGAGGAAGCGTGCTTCTGCCTGATGCATGCATTATACCCATTTTAATCCATATTCAAAGGGTGCAGGGTATAATATATATATATATATATATATATATATAGAGAACAACTAAAAATAAAATTTAATTCCTGTTGTAGATACACTTATGTAGAAGATAACTATAGCAAAAAACAAGAGAAAAACAAAAAAACCTGTATTAAAATCTGAATAGCGAAAGCAAAAACAAAAACAAAAATCAAATTAAAATCCAAAATGCAAAATGCATAAATAAGTCAGACAAAAAAACAAAAAAAAAAAAGTTAGTGAAAACTGAAATTAATTAATGTGTGCAACATACCACTTAAACGATGAATAATAAATAAATGCACAATCCGAAAATGCGCAGGCAATGGGATTGTGCAAGGAAGGGCGGGTGGTGGGAAAATGACAAATTGTATGCAATCCGCGAAAAGGACAAAGTTTAGTTAAGCGATTTGTTAGTTAGTTAGTTTGTTTTGTTTTGTTTAGTTTAGTTTAACTAGCTGTTGTCAATTTTGCTGTTGTTGTCTTTCTTGCGTTTTGTTCAATCCACGCATATAATTGCGGCTTGGGCGCTTTTGTTGCAGCATAACAGTATAACAGTATGACAGTTTAACTGTTGTACACACATTGCCATTGATTTGAACGCGGCATTTTTTGGCAAAACTAATTACATATTGTGAAAGCAGTGTATAACAGTTTGGGAAACTGTTAGAAAAGTTTCGACTGTATAACAGTTTCGATTAGTTAAGCATATTGCAGTCGGAAGTCGAGCGGACCATCTGACAAACTGACAGCATGTTGGACATTCCACAAATCCAATATACTTCTTTTACCCTTGTATAACAGTTTTTGTACCACTTTGGGGGCGGGGACGAGCGTTAAACAGTAGCACGGTTTTTAATATTAATGTGAATAATTGCACGAACTGGCAAGCGGTTAAAAGTTATTGGCATTTTGTTGTTCTTGTTCAACATGTTCTCGAATTAAGCAAACGAATGCAGCTAATTCCGAACTAAGCCCATTACGAATTGGGCAAAAACAGCAAAAGTGCCATCAATTACCTTTCGACATGCGTATAAAATTAGTTAAAATGCTCTGAATAACATTTTATTTGAGCCTTCCATACACGCTCACAAATGTGAAAGCGGCTATATCGGGCTACTCTGTATCTCTCTCTCTCTCTATATATATATATATATATCTTGCACAGTGTTAGAGCTTGATCCAAAAATGATGCCATTTGGGAAAAAACAATATATTGTGGCCCAGTTCAAGCATTTGTTGGGTCGTGTGGACGAGTACAACGCAGTTAGGTGCATCCGTCTGCAATATGCTTACCTGACTTTTTTCTGTGCTTGACAGTTTCGGGTTTTCTTGTTGTTGTTGTTGCTTAATTTTCATCTATTTTTCATTGGCGTTATTGTTGTATTAATGCTGCACAGCAATTAGGTTTAAATGCTTTTTAAATGCATTTTGATTGTACGCAATTGAACGGCTTCAACTGTCAGCTGTATCTTTGACGGAGGAGAGGGAGAGGCACCACTGACAACCGAGTGGGACACTTGATTTTTGTATTTTAATTGAAAATAAATTACATTTTTAGTAGTCAAGCGCAGTTCATTTGTGTGCGTGTCTGTGTGTCCACGTGGGTGTGTTCATTTTTTGCCATATTCAATTTGTGGCTTTGAATTAAAATAATCGAATAGATGCAGAAAGGGTTACGAGATGAAACATACCAAAACAAATACCAAAAACCAAAAAACAAAAAACGACGCTTTAAATTTATGGGTTGTGGCACAAATGAACAACAAATGAAAACATGAAAAAATTAAAGAATATATATAGAAAAAAAGGTATTATAGAGTGCCAAAAAAAAGAGATTTAACTAAAAAAAAAAAAAAAAAAAATGAAAAGAAAAACGCATGGTTGCATTTATTTTGTAATATTGCAATTGTGTCATACTGTCATACTCACTTACAAACCTAATAACGAAACAAAGCAAACCAAATATTTAGCATAAGTTCATGTAATTACAATTAAGCCCCACTTCAAACACACACTCTTTAATACTATATCAACAAGTGCAAAAAAACAAAAAAAATTACCAAAAAAAATACAAAGTTAAATAAATAATAATAATAATACAAAGAAATAAAGTAATGTAAACCTCTAATCTAGTGAAAACAAAAAGTAAAATCAAACTAATTAATTGAGATACGAATTGTTTTTTTTTTTTTCGTGTCGATTTCTAGCTTCGTAAGTTGAACTCTAGCCGTTAGGTCAGCCGGAGAGCAGCAGCAGCAGCAGCAGCAGCGGCAACAAAATATAGTATATGTACTTAATTTTAGTCAACCCATACGAGTAAATGTTAATTAACACACCAACACACCAACACACACACACACATACACATCTATATAATAACAGACTATATAATACGGATCGCGATATGCTCGACATATACGCATCGATATGTATTTATATTTGAATATGAATGTATGTCAGTTTTTTTTTTTTTCTGTGTGTATTACAACAATAAAAACTAATTGAATGTAAAACCAAATGCAAAGCAACAAAAATATCGCAGTTCGCATAGATATATATATATATATATAGCATTAATACATATATATGTATAGGGGAATATATATATATATATATATAGCATTAATACATATATATGTATAGGGGGATATATATATATATATATATATATATATATATATATACATACATATACTATATACATATATATACAAATAAATACATCATGAAAATTTAGTCAAACATCTGAAATTGAAATTGTGTTTCATTTCCAATTGGCTTGCTTGTGGCTTTTGGAATCAATTAGATATATGTGCACATTTACGCTTTAATTTTGATGGATTTTCGATTTTCAGCCCAAATAAATTAAATTGAATAACGTTTAAGCGGGATTTCATTAATAGAGTAGTAACTGAAAGCGAAGCTATCTGGCTATCTCAGTACCAAATGAAACAAATGTATTTGTGAATACAAAGTACGCGATGATTTCAAATGAGACTTGAAACTTCTTTAACTTCTAAAAGGAAATGAAAGAGAGCGCAAGACTTGAATTGTGTAAGGACTAAAGCTTATCAAAAGTCAGCCAAGATCAAGTAAGCAGAAATTCGAGATCATTCGATCAGTGCTCAGAAATAAATGGAACAAATACATTTGAAAATACTAAGCACTCGATGCTGTGTCAATGCGTCTGTCTAGACATAGAAGCTTCTGCAAACATCTGAAAGTAAAGGCACGAGATTTGAATTGTGGAATGAATAAAGCTGCTTTATTCTCATTTGTCTGGAATACCGATACGCTTTACTCACAAAAGTCTGGCAAGTGTTTTAAGCTTAACAAATATCCTTCGCAAGCTGCAATCATTTGTTGCACTCATTTGTCAGTTGATCTGTCGCATGAGGCAAGTAGTTGCTTGGCACTGAATGCATTTGCCATGAATCGAATGCTGATAAGCAAATTACCATCTCGGCCCTTTAGAGACACATTTAATACGCATGGACGGCTATCAATATAAATTTGATTATTTTATAATTCAATGCATAAAACAGTCTGCTCATGATATATTCGTATCAATCAGCATAAAACCAATTGCCGCTTTAATTGCCAATCGCAAATGAAGGCATAAAAATATATAAAGATATAAATAAATATATATATTAATCTGAAAGCATAAAAATTAACCCTCTACGTTCTGTTTACATATATATTAATATATATATATATATATATATATATATATATATATATATATATATATATATATATATGTCTCACTTGCCCTTTGCATTTTTATCTTATCATTTATTTGTGAATAATTTATAACAAACAATTTACATTTAATTTATTAAAAGTATTTTTGCAGCGTTTTTTACATTACACATATTATTGTGTTTTTACTGTTTTTTGTTATATATATATTTTTATATTTTCATTGGCAATTTTATGACATTTTTCAGCAGACGCTTTTTTTCGTTTTTGGCAGGTTGCTAGAGGTCTAGGAGAAAAGTGTGTGTGTGTGTGTGGAGGGGTTGGGCGCTGCGGTAGGGGTAGAGAAGAGCAATTTAATTTACTTCTGATAAATATGCTCGCTCTGGTATGTGTGTGTGTGTATGTGTGTGTGCGTGAGCTCGTGCCAACCCGTGTTTTGTGAAGGCAAAAACCAATACGAATTTTTTACGTCAAATGATATCAGG